GACAAGCCTTCTGTCTCCCACGTCCTGTATTATTTAGCGTGCACTCAGTGCGGGGTTCATGGAGGATTCAGTCCTCACAGCCTAATGAGGAATTCGTGTCATACATTCCACTTTACAGATGAACAAACCGAGGTCTGGAAGCTAAATGACCCACTGGAGTCACGTAGACAGACAGTGACAGGGTATAAAACTGCCAGGCCCCCAAATTTCAGCCTCAACACTGGCTCAGCATGCTGACCTGCCAACCTTAATTATCTCCTTCCTCCCTTTCCCACCAGGTATTAGATTTAATTAAATTAGCAGATCCCCATCGCAACAAGCCTGGCCATGCAGCCTGGACAGAACCCAGCCAGTGCAGCTCCTTCCTCTAAATTCTGCTTCTCAATATAATTCAGTCTTCAATAAGTCACAGATGTGAAGTGTTTTATACAAAGTGTGGTGTATTGGCTAGAATCAAGGCTAACGGTCGTTCATGATGATTTCATTTTCCATATAACTTGCTCTGCTTTTCCTCTGTGGCATCACTTTCACCCTCTCCATACTCTGATCTGCATTTTGTTTGATCCAGACACTTTGCTCACATGCCGTCACCTCTAGCAATTGCATCACACATTTATATATATCTCACAGCATCACAGTCCTTGTGTGGCACAGCATAGGAAAAGGAAAACTTACAACAGCGTTTCTCACCTTCCTCGAACTAATTTAGAAAATGTGCTCCAAATTAAATAAATCAGGAACAAAAGTCTGAAACTGGAGATAGAATTTCAGAAGGGGGGGGTGCTAAATAAATAGCAAAGAAATCTTGCAACATGTTGGAAGCCTGTAAATTTTATAGGTTGTTTCTTTAATAAAAACAAACTCAATTGCTAACAACACAGTATTATTAAGCCGCCAACATTTAAAAATCTAATTTGGGCTGTTCTGCTGCTGTTTATGTTGCACATTGCCTTCATCTAGGGTAAGGAAGTCAGGTTGATAGGTTTGGTTTGGTTTCTAAACCAGGCTAATAGAGACTCCTTTAAAACCCAGCCCTTTTGCTTTCTAGGCATGCCTTGGTCACTAATGAGTTACAGCCCCAGGTTGAAGATGGACATGGCAGAAAGAAATTTAACACACATTCTGGAGCACCCATAAACCTCAAGGCCAAGGGAGAGGAGGCATGTTTCCAGTTAAGCTAGAACTCCATGAATTCAGGATTCTCCACTCACAAGACAGTAATTCTCCTTATTTCATCACTAACTTACTTCAAATGTGTTTATACAATTTATTGCTACTGAACTTCCAGGCAACTGGTGTAGAGTTAATGAAACCCAGCTTGGAGAAGCTTTGAGCTTTGAACAACTAACCACAGTTTAAATGGTTATGACATGCGGTCAAAGCCACAGCCCAGCCCCACTGCAGTTTCTGTGTTAGGACCTAGTCAAAAACCTTGTCATCTCACCTTTTGTGCCAAATAGATTGAAAAAAGGAAAAGTGCTGAAAAACAGCCTTCCATGTTTCTTCTCAAGGTTCCCAGTGTCTCTCCCTGACATTTTAACGTATCTATCTTACTAAATGCAAGGCAAAGCCCCTCCCCCAGCCCCCAAGTAAATATTTTAGTTGCAGTTTGAATTGGCAGCCAGTTGAAATCCTGAAATCCAGTTTGAATTTAACTGAACAGGGTCAGGCCTACAGAAAGCAATGTTGAGAGAGGCTATAATGGGGAGGCAACAAGCAACATTTAAAGTCAGACTCAGTGAAAGTCCAAAAGGCAATATAGAAATGTACAGCTGTCACTGGACAGGAAAAGAAGTAAACTAGTCTTTCTGAATTACTTGGACATCGATTTTTATTAATCCTTATTGTCACACGGCATTGCCCCCACCCAAGCTCTGTCCTGTGGGAAGTCCAGGAGGCTCCCTCTTTTTAAACAGTCCCATTTTGGAAGAGTAAAGGGAGGTACTGGACGTTCCACTGCCACACAATAAAAGCCCCTTTTGAAAGCAGCACTTTCATTAACTTAAAGCAATCTATAGACTTAAAAGCAGAGAGCAGTAAACTCCCAGAAAGGATCATAAAACAGCCAGTCTCAAGTTGGGTACACTTCAGTGCAATTTGCACGAGGCATTTTACTGTGAGCGGTGGCCGGGCCCATCTCCCTCCAGTAACCCCTGCCCATTCTTCTCAGCAGCTTCTCTTTCTCTGGGCTTTCCTGCCTTTCGAGCTCACAAAGGGGAGGCGGTGACCGGGGAGTCTCCGTGGGGTCACGGCTCTCTCCCGCCCTCAGGCTCTCGGCGGGAGAGAGAGCGCACGAATTCCTAGCCTGCAAAACAACAGCCTTGGAGCTCCGCCGCCGGGCGGTTGCCGCGCCCCGGACCGCCGCGGCCACTCGTGGGTCGCGCGTCGTCTGCGTCCTGGAAGCGCCGTCTGGCTGCTCCACCGAGGGGTGCGAGGGTTGCGGAGGGCTGGGAGGGTGGGCTCATGATTGCAAGGAGGAAATTTCAAATCTTACTCCGGTAAACCCCCAACACACTCTGCTTCCCTAGTTAGCCAGAGGGATAACCTCCCTCCCGGGTCGGGACTTCTCTCCCATCCCCCGAACTAGGCCTGAGCCCTGCACCTCGAGCGGGAGAACACGAGTCCAGAAACAGGAGACCCCTCGCTTTCCCCAAAGTCCTGAAGCCTTGGGAAAGCCAGAATGGCAGGATAAGCGGGAGAGCTAGGTCTCTGCGTAATATATCTTCTTGTGTTTGAATACCATCATTTTCTCAGATTTGGGGACGGGGGTCGCCTAAATCAGCCTACAATGCGAAGCTTTTGACTTCCACTAGTTGGAGAGCATTTGAAATCCGAAAAGTCAACACGATGGAGAAGTCCTGGGACGAGTGAGGTGAGGGTAGGGGACCCCGAGCTCCCCCTTTCCCGGCGGAACATAGCACAGGCGGCCGGGCATGTGGGCTTCCGGGCCGGGCCCCGGGGGAAGCGCAGGCAGCGCCTGCGGGTCAAGAGCTGACGGCTGCGGTCAGGGCGCCGGAGTTCGAGCCCGCCCTGCCCTGGACCGCAGCCCCGACTCCCCAGGCCCGATGCGCCATCTCGCTGCTGGCGCCCCTCGCACAGGCCGCGGCCCCTGCGGGCCACTCTCAGCCACCCCGCTGTGCTGCGTCCGCAGACCCCCAAGTGGCTTTCAGAGCCCGCCGAGCCGCCAGGGTCGGGTCCTCGGATGCACTCCGAGCCCTGTGAGGCTGCCCTGTCGCTTCACCCAAAACGTCCCTTGGATTTGTCCGCTTCCCGGAATCGTTCTCCTGGGACCGGGTCCTGTGCGCAAGTCCTCTCCACCAGATCTGCTTTCGGGGAGAAGCAGCAGAAATTCGGGGCTCGCCTGCCATGGCTAGGATCAACTACTTTTATCGCCTACCTAAACGCTTTTCCACTCACAGAGCGTGGGGATCCGCGCGCGATCCTCCTTAAATTCCAATAGCCTCAACCTCAATAAAAAGCCGTGATCCCGTGGCTAAATCCTAAAAACGCCACCCATTCCCCCGATTCCAGCCTCCGACGTAATCTCTGGCCCCCAACTCCTACCTCCAGACCCCTGCTCTGGCCGGAGTGTAGATCCATCCCTAGCTACTCAACGGCCCTTCAATCCCGCTTCTGAAAACAGCCTGCATCCTATAACCCAAACTCTAGCCTGGCTCCGAAGCCCAGCCTTAATTCGGGGCTGATGCACAACCACCGCTCACCCCCCGCCCCACTCCCATTCGTAGCCCTGGTCTCCCCACCGCGCAGGAACCTCGGGCTCTCCCGCTAAAAGCCCCCGGAAAGGGCGGCCCGCTTCGCTCGTTTCTTCCTCAGGTTCGGGAGTCGGGAGAGCCCCGCATGCCAAACCTGAAAGAAACGCAAACTTTGCGCGGCAGACTCGGGACCCTGCCCCAATCCCCTCAGCTCCCTGCTCTTGGGCGCTTTCCGTCCTCGCCCCCCCCCGCCCCCTTTTACGAATTCATGCCCTGGTTCTCCAGCCAGGAGGACTCCCGATTCCCAAGCCTCGCCATGGGCCCCTACGCCTCCCTCCACCTCACCAAAGACTCCCAAGAATCCGCGGAAAGCCAGTAACCCAACAAATTATCGCTCCTCCCGGGCTAGGGTCCGTGAGCATGGCCCCTGGGATCCTGGCTTCCCTGACCCACAGCTCGGGTTCCGCTGTCCCCACTGATCCCCCTGCAAACGCCCACTCGCCCTGGCTCCCCAGGCCCGGCCGGACGCGGCTGCGGCTCCTGACTCCAGTCACCCGGCCCAAGTCTGGGGCTGCTCCCGCTTCCAGCGGCTCGAAGGCAGCTTCAGGCTGGTGGCGCCGAGGAAGCGCCGGCCCCAAGGGCGCCCGAAGCCGGGGAGAAAGCGAACCTGGCGCCGGCCTGCGGTTCCCAGCCTCGCCCGCGAAGCGCCCAGCCCCAAGCCGCCGGCACCCGGGCTCCGACCCGCGCGCTGGTCCCTACTCTCGGGTCCCCCGGTGCTCCTGGCGCACAGCTCCCCGCCCGCCCGCTACGGGGTCTTGGGCCCGCGGCGGTCCGAGTCCGCAGCCCCGCTCCTCGCACCCGCGGACAATGCGCGCCCGGCCACGGGCCCTAGCCGGGCGAGGCGGAGGCGGCGGAGGGCTGCGCTCTGGCCCGGCCGGAGCGCGGGCGGGCCGCGCGGCTCTGGCCGCCTCCTTCCCCGGCCTCGCCGCCACTCGCGCTGCTTCGCTCCGCGCTCTCCCGGCGCTTCCCCAGCTTCTCTGCACGCTCCCGCCGTCCCTCTCTGCTCCCTGCCTCCCTCCTCCCTGCTGCCTCCCTCTCTCGCCTCCCTGCTGCCTCCCTCTCTCCCTCTCTCCTCCTTGCCCTGTCGCAATGAATAATACTCTGGCTTGGGGACTGGAATAAAACACACGCGCTCTGAGGCAGCCGCCCGCAGCAGCAGCCGCCGCCGCCGCGCCGCCGCCGCCGCCTGCAAAAGCGTCTCTGACATGGAAATGAATGACAGCTTACCTGATGCCAATCTTCATCAGACTGACACCGGCGTGACAACACAGCCTATACTTCCCAGCACTGCTCGGGACGTCAGCGGCACAGGGACCCGCCCCCCGGAGCCCCCCCTTCACACACCTCCCCTCTCCCCACTCCCTCTTTCTCCCCACCCCCCCCATCACCCCCACCCACTCCAGGCCCCGGCCGCTTCCAAGTCGGAGGAGCCGCTGGAGTGTCTCCCTCTACTGGAGGCTTTTCTAAGACGTCAGGCGCGGGCCTGCTCCTGCTGGCGGGGAGGCAGAACAGCGCAGGAGAGGCCTCAGACCCGGAGGTTGCCACTAATGGAGGAAGGCAGCGGACCCCCAAGGAACTCCGGAATACTGCCCCCCGCCCCCACGCCAAGTCCTCTTCAGCAAGCAATCGAGGCAGAGTTTTTCAAGACATCCTGTGCTGAGGGGATGGAGATGAGCGAAATTTTCTGTGCACCCCAAGAGAATTCGCCAGAAATTATAAAACTTAAAACTGGCAAGAAATCCGTCCTTCCACCCTCACTCCTCCCCCCACCCCCACCCGGTTCCTGCCTGGCTGGCCTCGTTTTTATGATTGCATTTGAATAATTCTCATTACCCTGGCCCCAGAAAAGGTGCTCAGATGTCACTCTGGTTACTTATTCCTATTCTCAAGAGCTTTTTCTACTGTGGACTTCCTGGGGCGTTTGGTTCACAGAGGGGAAGACTGTGTAATGGGGTGGGGCAGAGGGAGAGAGAAAAGGGTGTAGAGGCTTTGTCAGTAAATCGATTCTTTGCAAATGCCAGGCAAGCCTGTTCTAAGCCACTGCTACTTTCATTCCAAAACGTCCCCGAGTTCTGGGGGTCAGCAGGGTGTAATATAAAGAAAGAGACCAGCTGGGCTGTTTTGGCCTGGGCCTGCTGGGGTGGCTGTATATACTTCAGAGAGGAAACTCACCTAAATGCCTTCAGAGAGGAAGACCAGTGCAAGTGTGTGTGGTGGTACATGTGCCTTCTTTCATTCTACACGGATTACAATCCTACTAAGTGCCAGGTGTGGGCACCCAGCCCCCTATAGATGCAGGCTTGCTTCCACAACTTAGCACATGGCCCTCTGCATAAAGGGACAAGAGAATGCCTTCTTCTCCTTGAAATTTGCTCCCTGCTCCCTGTAGAGGAGCCGTTTCAGCCACAGTCAGGCAGCGATTGATCTTCTGACCCCAGGCCAGGCAGGGGGCCTGGATAAAGCCTAGACAAAGACTCTGGTGTAAGCCGGGAAAGCAGAAAGTGAAACCCAAGCAGGCCAGGTTTTCAGTAAAGAATCTGACCCAAGAAGTTGAAGGCTGCCCCTTGGCTCTTTCCAGGCCTCCAAGTTACTCCTCATCTCCCTCCATTATGGGCAAGGATGAGAGCGAATAGCATTCCATGGCTCAGAGGAGGCAACTGAGACCTTTTGTGCACCACATCCCAGATACACTAAAGACTGTCCAGATCCTCCCAGTCCCCCCAAATTCAACCTCCAAAGTTGCTTGTGGAAGAAACTTCATTGAGAGCCCCCATCATAGAGGGAGTTGAATCCTCTCACCTTCACATAGAACCTCCGAAGACTTCACTAGGTGGATTTATGTCACCCCAGCCTCTGATCTGTGGTCAGAGACTCTGGCTGCTGACAGCATAATCACTATTATATGTTATACATTGTATAATAATATAATAATAAGGAATGCACTTGCCCTTTTTATGTAGTACAGAAGCGGCCAGATTCTCCAACCCAGAGGCTGGAGGTCAGGCTGCCATAAACTCTCAGAGGGAAGCCCTCTTCAGATACAGGAGGGGGAGGGGAGCTCCATGTGCCCCTGCCTGGACCCCTGGAGGGAGGGTTTTCTCTCTTTCCCAGGGCTCATAGTGCATTGCTGTAGCCTGCAGAGTCAGAGGGGAGAATCGGGCTGAATGTAAATACTTAACCCCATCAGAGAGGTGTCAGTGAGCCGTAAATAGTACTGTAGGCAAGAGCCATGCATCGCTGATTCACACTTGTCACGCCCTTGTTTCCTGAAATCCAGTTCAGTACCCAACTCTTTCTTGACAGGGAGATCCATGGCCATGAGCCATTAGTTTTTGGAGACTTTTAAAGTACCATGAGTTCCACTAATACCCTTTTGATGCTTTAAAGTGCACATTGTAATTTTAAGTAAATTTTTTTTAATTTTGTAATTTGCAAAAGCGTAAAAAATGATTATCTAAAATGTAACCATCCTTCTGATAATCATTCAAAGTAAATATTTGTCCTGGACCCACCAGAAGCTCAGCTAGAGCTAAGGATAAAGAGCAGAAACAAAGAAGTTCAAGTTACAGCTTGTGTCCTCAAAGAGCTTCCATTCTAGTTGAAGAAGACAAAGCACCAATATATAAAACATTAACAGTCATAAAAGAACTCAACAAATGACACAAGCTAGTAAATAATGAATGAAAAAACGAATCGACAATATGTCGAATTCCATGAGTTCCATACCTAAATGTTGTCTCTGTCGGTGAGTAGAGAAGGGATAGACTGGAAATTAAGCCTGTAGAATTCACTTCACATACTCCACAGTCTCTCCCCCATTCTTCTTCTGAGGAGGAAGAAGAGGAGGAAGAGGGGCCCACATGTCATGTAAGTCACCAACACATCAACATTATAACCAAACAGGAGCTCCTCCCAATCCCAGTCATCACTTTTAAATGTTGGAGTTCCTCAGGCTGGAGTTCTGGGCCCTTGTGTCACTCTATTGGCACTTGATTTGTCTTTAGTATAAGCAGCCAGCCCGGGCTGTCTCCTCTGAGCTCCAGACATGTGTAATCAAAGGCCTACGTGAATCCTGCCCCTATCACCCTATAAATAAAAATTTAAGACTTGTTTGTATTAGTCTACTTGGGCTGCCATAACAAAATACTACAGACTAGGTGGCCTATACAAGAGACACTTATTTTCTCCCGGTCCTGGAGGCTGCAAGTCCAAGACCAAGGTGTCACCAGGATTGGTTCCTGGTGAGACTCTCTTCCTGACTTGCAGATGGCACCTTCATGCTGTGTCCTCATGTGGCCTTTCCTCTCTGCGCACCACAGAGGAAAGAGCGCTATCGCTGGCAACTCTGCCTCTTTTTATAAGGACATCAGTCCTATTGGATTAGGGCCCCACCCTTATGACCTCATTTAACTTTACCTCCTTAAAGCCCGAGTCTCCAAATACAGTCACATTGGGAGTTAGGTCTTCAACATGTGAATTTAGCGGGGGGTACACAATTCAGTCCATAACACTGTCCATGTACCAATTCCCTGTATTCTCAACTTTATTATTTTTGATAAATCTTGATAGATTGTGAGTTCCTTGAGGATGGAGACAATATCTTATTTCATCTTAGAATCCTTAGAACCTGGTACAATGCTCAGTCCAGTCCATACTAAAGAAACACTTGTTGAGTTCAATTAAATGGAACTTATTTCTCCATCATGGCCCCAGTAGTTGAGGAACTTATCACCAGTCACCTGGAATATTTTGATGATTTCTTCAGTAATTTAATGCCTCCAATATCCCAATACTTCCTATACACTATCACCAGAATGTTCTTCCTAAAACAAAGGTTGGATCACACCTTGATTTCCCCTCAAAATCTTCATTTCCATTTCCATTTGAAAGCTCAAAATCCAGTTTTCCATTGCCTATAAGATTTAGCCTAAAATGTTTATTGAGCCCTATAATAAAAAGAAGAGTCTTGAATGCCGCATTCCTTAGCATGGCATTCTAGCTCCTCCTCCTCATGTGGCCCTGATCTACCTGTCAGGCTAATCTCCTGTATTCCTGCCTACACCTCCCCAACTCCACCTTCAGTGGTTCCTCGTGTTGTCCCAGGGCCTTCCTGCATGAGAATCCCATGGGGAACTTCTTGGTTCCTAATTCCACCCCTGCAGAAAGTTGGTCTGCAGAAGGGCCTGGGAACTCATATTTTAAAATCTGCTGCATGAAAAGAATGAGAAGATGAGCCACAGAATGGGAGAAAATATTTGCAAAAGACACCTGATAAAGGACTGTTACCCAAAATATATAAAGAACTCTTAAAATTCAGCAATAAGAAGGGGCCAGCCCAGTGGCATAGCTGTTAAGTTCGTGCGCTCTGCTTCAGTGACCAGGGGTTCACAGGTTCGGATCCTAGGCGTGGACCAACGCACCGCCTGTCAAGCCATGTTGTGGGGGTGTCCCATATAAAGTAGAGGAAGATGGGCACGGATGTTAGCCCAGGCCCAATCTCCCTCAGCAAAAAGGGGAAGATTGGCAACGGATGTTAGCTCAGGGCTAATCTTCCTCACACACACAAAAAATTCAACAATAAGAAGACAAATAACCTAGTTAAAAAATGAGCAGAAGATCTGAACAGACACCTCACTAAAGCAGATATACAGATGGCAAGTAAGCATATGAAAAGATGTTCAACATCACAGGTCATTAGGGAATTGCAAATTAAAACAACAAGATACCACTACATACCTATTAGAACACAGACAACACCAAATGCTGGCAAAGATGTGAAGCAACAGGAACTCTCATTCATTGCTGATGGAGACGCAAAATGATACAGGCACTTTGGAAGACAGTTTGACAGTTTCTCACAAAACTAAATATACTCTTACCATATGATCCAGCAATTGTACTCCCTGGTATTTACTCAAATGGATTGAAAACTTATGTCCACACAAAAACTTGCACACAGATGTTTATAGCAATTTTATTCATAATTACCAAATCTTGGAAGCAACCAAGATGTCCTTCAGTAGGTGAGTGGGTAAATAAACTATGGTACATCCAGACAATGGAATATTGTTCAGCACTAAAAAGAAATGAGCTACCAAGCATGAGAAGACATGGAGGAACCTTAAATGCATATTACTAAGTGAAAGAAGCCAATCTGAAAAGGCTACACACTGTATGATTCCAACTATATGACATTCTGAAAAAGGCAAAACTATGGAGACAGTAAAAGGATCAGTGGTTGCCACTGATGGGAGGGTGGGGATGAATAGGCAGAGCACAGAGGATTTTGGGGGCAGTGAAACTACTCTGTATGATACCATAATGATGGATACTGTCATTATA